TGCCACAAGCCCGCCGGACGCTCCTTCATCGAATCCGCCAGCCGCCACTCACTCAAGGCCGTCGTGTGTGACGTTTCTTTGTGAAAGCGAAACTACTTTGTTTGGCCTTCCAAAAGAGGACACGACTAGAAATCAGTGGTTAAGTTGTATTTACAACACTGTTCCAGAACAGTTCAACCCAAATATTCAGATGTGTGCAGCACATTTTATGGAGGACTGTTTCCTGATCCTGGCAGAGGAGACTACAATTCCGGCTGTTCTGACTCACAGTCTGTAAGTACGTTTTTTATATATAAAGAATTTGCCACTGATGATTCAAACGTGAGTTTTGAGCAGTGTAGAGTAGCGCTTGTTATTTGTCATTTCTCCGATCACAAATGCAGACGTAGTTTTATGTTTACGCGGCGCGATGCAACGCGTAAAAAGACAGTATAAGTTATAATCAGTAATTATGTCCCCACTGGATGCAACAAATGCCTCGTTTATAATGGGTTTTAATGTTTTTGTCTCGTCGCTCCGGCCGGACAGGGCATCACAGTATGGTAAGGGGCGTAACATTTCCGTCACATGCTTGAGCTTCCGATGAGCTTTGTAAAAATCAACATTTTTCAGAAATTGCATAGAGGAGAAACAATAATGTACGGTATGTGGAAAATAATGTGTTTTTTGAACCTTAAACCGCATAAACACATTTCATTACACCAAATACACAAAATAATGTTCTTTTTAGCAACATCATATGACCCCTTTAATATGCAGAGACAACTCAGGTAGGTTCTGTGGTGCTTTAAAAACCCATGAGCAACCCAACCTACCAATACATCAACATTGGCTCCAACAATGGTGTGAGCTTAGGGCGGGACTATCTGTTCGTCTAACCAATGGAAAATGGGGGGACAGCAATAGAGCATGTGTGAAGACTTTTCAATTTTCACCTTTTCTGTGAAGTATTTTTTCCATTCATTTTTCCCATAGAGATTTTAAAAAAGTCACAAGCCAGCTATGAGCACTCACTGCTGAGATCTTTTAGCATGATTTGCTCTTTACAGAATCATGGGTAATGTAGTTTTTCCATTAGGAACGCCGCTGCTAAACACGATTATTTAAAAAACAGTTTGAAATAATGCGGGCTGAAGGCTTCAACAAAAGCATATACCATTGATTAACATCCTCGAAGCTCACAGTAAGTCTGTTTTCAAATGTTTATAAGTAATTGTTAAAAATCAATTTCCCTATGGTGAAAATCAATGAAATTTTTACTTGGTTTGAAAGACTTCTGTGTGAGCAGATCTTCATGCATCAGCATCACTACACTATTGACAATAGATAATGGACCTTTTTTCTCTGCAAAATTTTGCTAATGTGTCTACACCCTAAATCTGTAAAATTGTACCCTGCTTATGTTATGAGTTGGCCAAGTATTTGTGTATATGCATAGTTTTGGCCTTGGAAAAGGGCACAGAAATTATGGAAAACAAGAACAGGAATTTGACTTACATAGATCAAGTCTTTGCTGTAACGGACACAGATGTTGTTTAGAAGAGTGGCCTCATTTAAATACATAAGAGAACCTGGAAGTAAATATGTAAACACGTATGGGAATAATATGGGAATATCATTGAACATCATAAGATTAACTATTTAACATGATACTAATGGCTGATACAGTTACAACTATACTTACAGTTGTCTTCAACATGTTTGTTCACATCGTCCTCAGCAGGAAAGACTTGATTGATGGGGGCCAGGAACGTCTGCAAAGTCAAAATGAGCATTGTCAACTCTTGTGACCTCTGGCCAAATGAAAAACTTGGCCTAACAATAACTGCCTACATTGACCTATTTCTCTATTTATCCATATTATTAAAAGCGCACACCATTTACGACCACACAGAAGATTAATGGGACAAAAAACAAGTAGATTATGACAGATGTTTGTTCTCTCATTTCCGACTCTGTCTGGTTACTTTCAACGATGTGTAAAGCTATAAACACTCAAGGTCTTCATACATTACTACTGCGCAAATGACACTGAAGAGCGGTGCTAGGTCAGCCATGATTGATTGTGTCTAATGGTGGCCATAATGTGGAGAAGAAACAGTAAAGTCATGTTAATGTGAAAGGTAAGAACATAAGCTGTGAAATCCATTACGACACATTATAAGACACCCAAAACTGCCCATCACACCAGTGCGTTATTCAGAGCGAGATGAGACAGGCTGACCTTTTTCAGACAACTCATCTCATCCCTGCTGACTTTCCTGCTTTACATTATTCCACTCCCTCACTTTTATATAAGCCATTTACATTAGGAAAGTTATTATCTGCCTCAATGTCATGGTTATCATCTACCTCTTTGACCTAAAAAACACACACAACCTTGATATATTCAAGTGGGAACTTCTCACACATTGTTTATCTTTGTTTAATAAAAGCTAATGTGCCACTGACAAATAAGAGAGACAATGATGAAGAAAAAAATCTATAGCTTCTTACAGTTCTTAGAAATTCACTCTTTGTATTATTCTTGTTGGTTTTTATATGGTTTTGAAATAGATTAAAAAAAAAGTTAAGAAATTTAGGGTTTAAAAAAAGATTAATAATAAATAAATAATAAATACTATAATTTAGTAATTCATCAAATTAATTTATTTTAATAATTATATAATTAATTTATTGCTTATTTTAATACGTTTCTGAGGAGTTGCACCACATGACATTTTACAACTTGAACTGACTTTGTCATAAGAATGTCAAAAAGAAAATTGATACTTTCAGACTTACTGACCTTGACAAATAGTCATAAGGATTTGCAGGCGACCTATCTATGACATCATTTCCTGTTCTGTTCGTTTGTGTGTATGTGTCTGGCTGCACCACATGACTTAATTTCAAATATTAACAACATGAAATCAAAATGGACTATTCTTATTTTTTATGGAATATTGCAGTGTTTATTATAAATGATTTATCCGTGTACATCGTTCCTTTTTTTTAAATCATGTGCCCCTGTAATCTTTAATCAAAATAACTTCCCATCCCCTTTGCACTGGCATCTCTTCTCTTCTCTGGCTGAGTTTACACTTGGCATTAACATGCGATCACCGTGATCTGATCAAGCAGATCGGATCATCAGTCAATCAGGACATGGCGCGTTTACACTTGGCAACATCAGCTGACTTCTCAATCTGGATAACCGATCGGATCTGTATTTCCCATGCAATATTTAAATAAGTCTGCGGTGCAAAGCCGACCTGAAGTGGTGGGTTTTCTTTTGAAAACTATTGTCAGTCGCGGGACATTTTACAAATCAAAATCTGTTCTTCCGACAGATCGGGAGAGAGGGGGTGGCGTTTTGCGTGATGTCGACCTGCGAATGCAGACACGATGGCTGGATTGCGTTTACATTACACTGAGATCCGATCACAATGCGTCCTCGACTACCTCTGGACCAGGACACGCTGATCGGATAACATTCCGATCAGAAGCGCGTTTACACTTGTCTTTTCAATGTGTATGTGGACAACATCCGGATACAGGTCGCATGTTAATGCCAAGTGTAAACGCAGCCTCTGATGACATGTGTGCACTACTAGCACGAGGGACGGGACAATAATCAGTCCCTTCCAGCAATCTGTCACTCACATGAGATCACAGCAATTAGCAAATGACAACAACCTAATCAATTCCTGATGGGCAAAATCAAGTCCATCCTTACATTTTTTTTCTTTTTAAACTTTTCCTTCATGCCAACTTTAATGAGCAAGTTTTTTTTAATAATAATTAAATTATTCAGAACTAATATTAACTTAATTTTAACATGTTATTTCAATATTTCAATTAAAGATCCTGAGGATGAACCCTAACCCTAAAATACACCTTGCACCACTTTTAGACAAGAGTTACTACATTATTTAGTCAACTTTCCTTGTGAGACTTGCTCACAAGTCGCTTTTGTCAGGTTTTTCATTTTCAGAAATATCACACACAGTGCTACAGTCTCTAAGGGAGCATGTAAGAAGCTGAGACACAGGTGGCTTTTTTAGTCTAATGAACCTACACTGTGTGTAACGTGATTCGCACACCTGCAGCAGGTAGAGCTCATTACTTATTCAAAGCCCCTGCAAGTGACACCCTTACATGGCACAGCACAATTCCACATACACGTTCTCACATTTTACCTATTGCTCAGATACCTGGAGGCCTTTTATACACATCATGAAGTTAATCAAGCGTGCAGTGGGAAAAACTCAGCACGTTAGCAGAAACGCTGATCACATGATCACCTGAGGTACCCTGGTCTCAGTGGAGGGATAGAGCATCAAAGGTGCTTGGCAACTAAGCTAAGTTTCCCTCGTATGAGTCACAATAACGTGGCATTAAATCAATGGGCGCCACCTGCTTGATCACTGGATAAATGCTAACAGGATGCATTTCAAGGGCAGTAAAGCTGACGTCTTACCTTTCCTCTCTGATTGAGAGGTTCTATGGTGAGGGCATCCGCACCGATATCCACTATCATGCCCAGCTGGAACCCGTCGGTTGGGTGGGGCGCCCACACAGGCTTCCCATCCTCCATTGCACCCCGCAGCTACACCGCAGCTCTGGAAGACACACACACAAGTTTAAACACTGACTTGGCTGGCAGTATGCAGAAAAGTAATTGTTTTGTTTAACACAAACCACGTGACTGTAAACAAAATGTCTTTCAGTATGCTGCAAGTGGAGGCCGACAAGGTTGTCTCTAGTACAGACGATGATAATGAAAATAACAAAACAACTTACATTCATTAGCCACTTCAAATTCTTGATATGCATAATGAACAAATACACACTGAAACTAGACCATGCAATTCTGGCTGCCTCAATATTAGTGTTCTGAGTGGTTGCCAGAGAATTGTTAGTGAGTCCTGAGAGGTTGCTAGATCATTCCTAGTGTGCTCTGGTTGCAATGGCATTGGTAAGACCCCTTTCCACTATCTCCCACATTTGTATATGATTTTCGCATTTTGCTCCCTAGTGGCAGATGTGCAGAACTTTCCATTTGGCCATGAAGCAGCTGTCACCCTCCACTTATTCACAATGGTAAAATAAATAAATAGTGTAGGCCTATATGTCCACAAAAAATAAATGACCGTCAATATGTTTGAAAGCAAAGCACAGCAGGTTTACTAGGGATAAACAATTCAAATAATTATGTAATAATTATATTGGATATTATTCATAACCACCAACTTTACATTCACACATTCACATTTGACACTTTAAGCCAAAGCGACTAGCATTCAAGATACATTTTTCCAAAGCATGCATTCTCTGGGAATCAAAACCATGACCATTGCTTGAGGTATTCCCTACTGTTGGACCTACAGGAAGGCTACTTACAGAAATAGCATTTAAAAATTTATATTTTAGTGCAAAAGTGTTGGCAATTCTTACCTCACACTTACAGTTTTGATTAGAATTCATCACATCCTGTCAGGTGGTCACATACTGTACGATCTTAGCTGCAAAACTTGAAATATTTCAATGCATCTGAAGCTTAAATTGTATCCAAAAATTCTGCATAAATTTGGTTGGAACGTCATGAAGCTCCTGTACTACTCTTCATTGGAAAATAATGACTTTTGTTCTGTCATTTGTCAGAGATGAAAAGCACAGCTTTAGTGTTTTCTGAGTGGTTGCTAAGAAATTGCTAGGGTGTTCTGTGTGGTTGCTAGGCCTTTTCTGGTATTTGTTTGCTGGCCTAAATCAAAAGAGTCAATGCTTGTGTCTCATAGAAGTACTTAGATTTCGTCACTTCATGCATATTTACTGATTAGATGTCTACTGAATCATGAAAATGCCAAGTGTAAACACCCTCCAGTATGCGAGAAGGATAGCAATCTGATCACTCAAACTTTAAACTTTGAGACACATACAAGACCCAGTTGAATCGATTGGAAATACATCTGGTTATTCAGGCCACATATGCTAACTTTATTCTTCCATTAACAAGTGTATGGGAAGTGTATGGAAATTTTATTATTCTATTAATCATCTGTAAGTTGAAAATCATGCAGTTTGTTCAAATTCCATACTATGAACAATATTAATTGTGATGCATGCCTTAGCAAACACTATGGTCTGATTTAGGGATGCGCAATATTATCGGAACATTATCCGAATTGGCCAATAATGGCTTAAAATGTAAAATCAGCATCAGCATCGGCCCAATGGGAAAAATTATGTCGATATGCCTTGCTGATAAGACGAATAACTCACATGTGCTCAGGGTGTGCTAACGATAAGATCACGTCAGCAGTGTAGTCATTCTTGAAGCGAACTTTTGCCTGAATGGTGATTAGATTCACTGTTTTGGATTGCCACATTTAATTTGAGAATACAAGTGCAGAATGACGCGTGTGGCGTGCCATATAGAGTCATCAGTCACTAGCGAGTGCAGCAGCAGCAGCAACAGCCTCCCCCGGGTCCTAATGCCCATCCAGTAAGGCCTTTTAGGCCGCTGTTGGCCTACTTGTAATAAAATGAAAGTAAAATACACAAATAACATGGTGTTTCTAATAAAATAAATCAGTAATTGATGTCATAATATCACGAGTATATTTTGATTTAATATATTGGTATCAGCATCTATGAGTTGAAAAATATCGGCATATCGGATATCTGCAAATATCCAATATCGTGCATCCCTAGTCTGATTGGTCTCATATTATTACGAAAGGTAAAAATGTGTTCTTTTATGCCGACTAATGATGTTTTGGAAAATTAGGCCACTCTCAGACAAATGTGCCATCTACTGTGGACTTGTCATTTCAACAACAGGTCTGTTGAGGTATTTTAGTCTCCTGGCTTGTTTCTCCATATGTTTTTTCGTTGATCTTGTTATTCCCTTCAGGTATGGGCTTAACCTGTAATAGTGGATTGCCCTCTGAGCCATCTTTATCTGCACTGACTCTCCTCTTGAGAGAACAGTTGGTGGCCCTATCTGATCTCTTTCTGATCCTACTATAAACCATTGACTTCTTACAGTGTTCAATATAATTCCCTATTAAGATCAGGTGATTTAACCGAAGCACTGGATGCCATCCGTTAAGATCCATGAGATCCACTGAGGGCCGCAGACTGCATGACCTGTAACTGAACTGCTGTCAAAGTCTACAAAAGCAATAATGGCTAATCACAAGGACGTTATTACACCTGGCAAGAATACAGCACTGACTTTATGTCAAAGACGTCTGCTGTGCGTAGGGCTGGGTATCATTCAAAAAATGTTTATATCGTACCGATACCTTGACTTCGATACCGGTTCCTGAATTATACTTTTTTCAATACCAATTTTATTAAATCCATTTTAACAAGATTACATTACCTAAAAAAAAATTTGGTTTTATTTTTTCAGCTTGTTGAGGTTTTTACAGACTCAAAGACTGATCTCCTGAGCCACTGCACAAAGGAACAAAATGTAACTGACCAACAAAATAAATCAGTGCAAATAGTTTTAAAGGGGTCCTATTATGCTCTTTTACAAACGTCGTGTTATACTTGTAAGGATTGTTCTAGACATGCCGAAAATTTGAAGCTACAGCACAGCAGCTCTTCTACTTGGTTTTCTCTGATGCACTAACTCTGCAGCAACACTTCTTCTTCGTCGTGTCGTCTGATGCATTCACCTCGCCCCTCCCCACCCCCCAACCATTCGAATTTCTGTAGGCGGGAATTACTTGTAATGATATTCCAATCAGCCGCTTTGTGATATCACAAAGCCCGGAAAACAAACGCTGTAGTCC